TAATGAAATTTTAATTACTTTTGAAATCAAAATTTTTTCAAGTTTTTAAACTTTTGAAATTTTTTAATATTTCGTCAAATTATTATAATTGTATTGCAAATAGTAATRGGTTAATTACTGATACTTGTATAAGTAATGGTAATGCAAATGCTAAATATTGTAATGTGGATAATAAGAATAAAATATGCAATTTGTATGTGTTAGTATTTGCTAATTCAGTTTGTAATGGTAATTGCATTTGGTAATTGAATTTCTTAATATTATATAATTGTACAACTTGTAATGGTAATCGGAAAATCGGAATAATTTGTAATGGTAACTTTATTGCTTATAATAATCAATAAAACTAGTAATGGTAATTGCATTCCTAATAGAAATTGTAACAGAATGGAAAAGTTTATGACAGATGTAATGGTAATGGTAGTGCTTTTCGATTCTAAAGTACTAATTGATAATGGAATTATAATTTTAAAGAAATATTAAATATTATTAGTTATGATTTAAAAGAGGCATCTATTTCTTAGGAACGAAATTTTCACGAATTATTTGTATGCATATATATTTGAGACATTACTCATGGAATTTTTGCAAGTTATTGTGCCACATTGTTGCATTTAACTGTAAACCTAGCACATGTGTACTCAATTGTTAGACAGACGTAAGTTTATATAAAGTCACTAAACTCCGTTGTCCTTTTGAACTCACTCTCAGCGCTATTGGCTGGAAATTAAAGCAGTATTGCAGCAATCATAGGCTGTGATTGCATGATTGTTGCGTGAGTTTCCGAATTTTATAATATAATCAAATACAAAAAAGTAGAATTATACTGATAAAAGTTASCGGTTGAGCGCACGACAATCACACCAACAATAAACCTTAAATATGCATTAAACATTTATGCAATTATTCTAATATGAAGTGGCACAAGTAGAGGCCGACAAGCAGTCGTTGGCGCCGCCGTCGACGTAGTAGCGCTTGCCATACCGCTACACATTTAAATAGTTTTATCCTGCCAATTTATGACTGCCACACGACTAATACAGCCGCATTGTTGCAGTGTGGGTGGCAATAGTTGGTCACCAATGCCGCAAACAGGCACATGTATGCAACCACCGTCACACTTCAGCGTCTCATCTGCCGCCAAGAGCGCGCACTACACCGCGCCACAAACACGCCATATAGCTACATATAAATATAAATGCGCCTCATTATATATTCGCTGATACGGGAGCGACGAAAATCCGCGACAATTATTCCAAGTTACCACAGCACCGCGCGGTCACAGCCAGCAGCACAGATATCGCTGAGTTATTCCTAGCAATATATCAATAAATTACCGCCATCAACATTTGCTGGCAATTACTAAAAGATAGCAGGCGAAAATACGAAAGCAACAAAACATATATTACATATATTTCAGSGCAAGTAAACGCCTATCGAATTGGTACTTAAATGAAAACTACCTACAAGAGACGAAATTTACGAAATGACACATTTTTATCGCACCCGGAAAATTTCTGCCAACATGTGGCGCGTGCCAGMAACTTATTGAGGCTGTGAAGTATAGAAAGCATGCCGAACTGTGTATAAAGTTATTTAGTTYTGCGCGTTTGAAACTAAATATTATTTTTATTGGCAAAGGGCTCTTCAAGAAATTGGYAGAAATCGTAAAATTTCAGTTGAAGAATATGACTCTACGAGTATATTTTTCAAACAGCGCTCTAAGATGTAACAAGGTGGCCCTAAATGATGTAATTGTTTTAATAATTGTTTTCTCACATTCCTTATAAGGCTTAAGCCATTAAATTAGGCTGGGTCGGCAAGTTTTATACCTGGTAGACGAAAACCGGTTATGATACCTTCAATGATGATATGTTCATTCCAAAAGAAGTAGGAAGTATATATGCTTGGGGGATTCAGAGAAAACGGTTTTTGGATAATCCGAAAAGAGTTTGTGCATCAAAGCTTAACGGAAGGTTAATGAGGTATTATATGGTGCAAACTCTATATACCTAAACCCTTCTTTTAAAATATAATTATAGCGGTTCAAGTAGATATGAAGCATCTTCAAAGCACAGAAGGAAGGTCAATGATATATTATAAAGCCGCGAATACTACATAAACCCTTATTTTTCAAAGCATATAACCAGTTTTTAAAAAGTTACCGTAGCAATAGATGTACTACTTAGAAGTGCGAAAGCGGTAATGAAGAAAGGTTATCATAGTTAATCWATYYCTAGTTATASGAGGCRGGYTGGTYCATTTKTAGACTCTTAAAGTCAAATTGAGGRGATTTCAGAYAAGGCGAYTCYCTATTCTGTGACTTTTTCAACCTTATGCTGGAGAAAATAGTAAAACCTACAGAGCTAAATAGAGTAATTACAATCTTCTGAAAGAGTGTACATAAACTGCAACCACGCCGTTAGTTCTGCTTTTTCCAGCCTGGATAAGGAAGCGAAGCGTATGAGTCTGGTTGTGAACGAGGACAAGACCAAATATCTGCTATCATCAAATAAAACAGTCATGGTATTTTCAATTTGGCTCGCACGTCACTGTTGACTGTCAAAACTTCGAAGTCGTAGATAATTTCGTCTATCTTGGAAACAACATAAAAAACCATCATCACAGGCTAGAAATCCAATGCAGAATCACTCTTGCCAACGGATGCTACTTTGGACTGAGTAGGCAATTGTAAAGTAAAGTCCTCTCCCGACGAACAAAGACCAAACCCTGTCAGTCCCTCATTATTTCCATCCTGCTATATGGTGTGGAGGCGGGGACAATGACGTCATCCGATGAGTCGGCGATATGAGTTTYCGCGAGAAAGGTTTCGCGGAAGATTTATGGTCCTTTGCGTATTGGCACAGGGGAGAGCTGCAGTCAATAGAACGATGAGTTGTACGAGATATACGGCGATATTGTTATAGTTCAGCGAATCAAGAGACAGCGAATAGTTGAAAAAAAACTCCAGTTCTGAGAGTGTTCGATGCAGTTCCGCCGGAGAAGCAGAGAAAGAGGAAAACCTGCCCTCCGTTGGAAAGACTAGATGCAGAAGGACCTTGGCGCCAAATGACGAAATGAAGAAACGGCTGGCGAGCTGTTGTTAACTCGGCTATAACTGTTGCTTACCAGATACCAAGGTGGAAGGAGAACTATATGCTTAGCAGTACATTGGTGGGTTCAGAATCTTCCATCGATACTTACTCGGATTCAATATTAATTTTGCAGTTAGTTGAGCGGCTTTCTGGGTATCTTGCTTTTCGGCATACCAGAAGCCATAGCCGAAACTGTTATAAGCCGTCTCAATAAATTTGTAACAGGCTTTGCTTTGTCGATTTAAAATGGTCTTATGATGCAGTATGTAGTTGTTTGTAGATGTCACAACGGACCGGAATTCTAAGCTGTCCAAGAAACCTTTTAGGATCGGCTTTGTCTAACCTGGTCGGAGAGGCTTCAAACTCTAAATATAAGTTTAAAAACATTATCTTTCAGTTTCAGAAGAAAAAAATTTTTACGGATAAGAACTAACTCAGTGCTCCTTATTTTAGGGTTTTGGGCGAATAACATTTACCATCACTCAATGAATATGGGGGTCCGAACCACATTTTGGATGGGAGACTGAGAGGGTTTGCTACATTGACGTTGCTTCCTAATTTCTTCAGAATTTGATTTAAAACTTTCGATTTTTGAGAGTTTTGATATCCAAATCACCCCAAGCTCCAGAAAAATAACAGAATTTCTTTTTGGGGGGTATCCTTCTAATTTATATGCAATATTTATGTTGATTCGTGAATTCTTTTGAATTTGAACTAAAACTTCCGACTTTCGGAGATTTTCAGAACATCTAATCCTCTTTTGGAGCCGCAACAGGAATTTCGTTTGATAACTGTAAAAAATGTCGTATYAAAGGTCTTAGCACTTATTTCTATGTAGACCAATTTTTTTAAATCAATTAACTCAGGTCATGCATTTTGTAATAGAAAGAGTAAATTTCTCGAAGAAAAGCAGAGAGAAATATTTACTATAGACTATAAGAGCATAAATTCAAAATTTTTGGGGTTCTTAATGGCGCCAAGTGTAACCACTAAATTACCAGGTTTCAATTCATAGTAGTTTATACGGGTTATGAAATATGATCAAAAAAAAAAAAAAAACCGGGAATTCTGGAAGAAAATACTCTCTAGTATTCTCGAGTTTCTAAGTTTAAGATATTACCTGAATTAAATAGAGAAACCATTCGAAGAGAATTCTCTGTTTATTTTGACTATATTTTATAACTCGAATAAACTACAATGAGTCGGAATCGAGTCATTTACTGGTTGGTTGCTTTTCAAATTCTCGCTTGGCACCATTAAAAACCCAAAAAATGGAGAAGTTATAGCATCTGTAGAGGAAAAATCTCTCCAGTATTATCTACAGCTGCTAAGATGGAATCATCTAGCAGGCTCTCATAACAATTATGGAACGAAATTCGCAACATTTATTTTTTAAAATAACAAAAAATAATACTGAAGCTTAAAATTAATCCAAAAGCGTAAAAAATAAATAAAGTTATACTGCGGGCCGCCTAAACATATGCAATATGTTCATTTATTCCGTTCATACGCAAACTATTCATATATTCATTTTAAATGGCATGAAAAAAAAACTTATCATAAAGTTCACCGTTATTTCGCCAACGATTGCGTGTACACGATTATTTGTACCGATTATCATGCCTCACTTACGTGTACAGGCGGCGTCGGCGAGATATTTTGGAAATCGCGATTGAGGGCAGGCAAGCCGGCGCGAGACCAAGAATGCGAACAAAAAGAAATGATTTGTGTTAAATATTCAAAAAATAAACATATTATTGATGTGCATAAATGCCGGCAGATATTAAATAAATTTATTGACGTTATTTGTGTTGTTGACAAATATTCTCGTATCTATTTAGCCCAGTAAAGAAACGCTAATTATTCCATGCACTTTTGTGCTTATTTCTTTTCAGTTCAAAATTATACGAACAATACTCCGTTTGGAAGGCAACCTTAAGCCGCTGGAGACGCCGATAGCCATAAGCGACCAATGAGGGTTGGAAAATCGCGAGGCCTACGAGAGTTTGGAAGCTGCTAATGGAAGCTTGTGCCGTCCGCTGGACTACACCGGTTACTGGGAAGTCATAAGAGAGAGAGAGTCGCAGAGCATGTGTTCCATTTTTCATAATCGCATCAACTATCGCGGTTTGCGCAGCAATTCGAGTGGTAGCAATAGTAGCGGCAGCATTAGCAACTTGAGCAAAGAACTGGATGCCGATCGCAATAATAATGGCGGTAGCGGTGGCGCTGGCGGCGCTGTTGTGGGCAGCGACGAACGCACTGAGCAGAACGGCGACGATGCGACTTCTGGGGATGAACGCAAGGTGGACAACCGTTTGCCTTTGAAGAGCGCCAATTCTACGCCCGACAGCGCGGTCGTCGACGAGAACGTCGATCCCCATTGCAATATGCGTGCGGCCAGCGTAGAACTGGCGGAGCAACGTAGCAGTGTGGAAGAGCGCGATGAAGGCGAGGACGAGTCGGAGGAGTTGGCGGGCGACAGCAATGAGGCGTTGGATTTGTCTGTGCTGCCRAGCAATCGACTGCCCGGTAGCGGTCACGTGGCATTGGAGGCTTTACAACACACCAAAGTGGCGGTGGCRCAATTTGCCGCCTCAGCGCTMAGCGGCGCACAAAATTACGGCGAAGCGATGAACGAGCTGGCGATGGTGCAATCGACGATACTGAACGTGCAACGGCAACATCTAATGCAACTGCAGCTAATACAACATCTGCAGAGTCAACTGAAGCGCGCTGGCGATCTGACAATGGATGCCGAGCAGCTGGAAGAGCAACCGCTAGCAGATGAGTCCGAGCCAAAGCGTAAATACTTGCAAACGCCACCGGCGGAAGCGGAGGAGAAGCTGGCGGAAGCTGTAGCTACAAGTGTGGCATTGAATGCAGCAAGTGCGCAAAACGACTTGAAAGCCAATGAGCCGTTCAGCGTGTCGCGGACGCCATCTGCGTTAAATGAAGAGAACACAAAGACTGAAGAGAGAACAAATAAGAAGGCGAAGGAGCCGGCGTTAAAGCATGCCAGAACTGAGGAAGCTAGTAATACAGGCAGTACTAGTCTGGGTGCTGTTGCACATAGCACCAGCAATTATCAACCCTTGATGTGYGATATTAGCTCCTCGCTCGCTTCTAGTATTATCACGAATCATGATCCATCGCCTGCACCGAATGAGATGAACTGCTTGGAGATGTTGCAACGCCGCACCGAGGAGGTGCTCGATTCGGCCTCACAAAGCTTGCATGCCTCACACCTACAAGACGAGTATGAGTACGCGCAGAAGGATGCGCAGGGTCGTGGTGAGATATTTAAACACCGCTGCAAATATTGTGGTAAGATCTTCGGCTCCTTCTCGGCACTGCAGATACACTTGCGCTCACACACTGGCGAGCGACCTTTTCACTGCAACGTCTGCGGCAGCAAATTTACAACSAAGGGCAATCTGAAGGTTCACTATCAACGGCACACACAGATATTTCCGCCCATGTTGCTGGCGCCTGGACCGGGTGGTGCTGTTGTGGAACAGTTTCCAACTTATGGCGCACCAGCTGGCGGTCCGCTAATGTCAGCTGTGACACCAGTGAGATTATCTGCGCCAGCAGATGACAGCAAGCAGCTGAGTTGTGAAGATCCGCCACAAATTGCACGCAAAGAAAAGCATGAGGAACACGCAAAAATCGCAATAAGCAATCGTGTGAGTAAGCCGGAAGCGCCAAATTCACCTATTGACACGCCGCAAGACCTAAGCAAGCCRCACCATTCGCCTGTGTTGCATGAACACCCGTCTCCTCTCGAGCCGCCAAAGTCACCAAAGACCTCACCRCTATTGAAACCAAGCACAGAGACAAAGCTTGAGAAACCGGAACGCACGAGCAGTCAAAACCCGCCACAAACCAATCAGCATGCGTCCAAGCGTAGCAGTAGTGCGCGGAAACGTAACTCACACGCCAATRCGTCACATGSCGGCGYYAGCGAAACGCGTAAGCCACATGCACACGACAAGTGCGAACGCGAGCGCGAACGCATGCTGGAAGGTGGTGAGTTTCTGCACAAATCCGCATCGGCCTTACGACGCTCATCGCTGAGTCGTAACTCCAGCAATAGTGGGCTCGAGCCGCCGCATATCTCATCCGAATACTCGCTGGCGCAGATGGAACGCATTATCGACAAATCGTGGGAGGATCTCATCGAGATCGATACCACGTCGGAGACTTCGAAGCTGCAACAGCTAGTGGATAATATCGAGAACAAACTGACCGATCCGAATCAATGCATCTTCTGTCACAAAGTGATGTCCTGCCGCAGCTCATTGCAAATGCACATACGCACACATACCGGCGAGCGACCGTTTCGTTGTAAAATTTGCGGACGTGCCTTCGCCACCAAGGGTAATCTGAAGGCACACATGAGCATACACAAAATCAAACCGCCAATGCGTAGCCAATTCAAATGTCCCGTCTGTCATCAGAAGTTCTCGAATGGCGTCATAYTGCAACAACACATACGCATACACACGATCGACGACGGCAGCGGCGCTTTGGTCGGCCTACCGGGGGTCAATATAAATGGTGSCATGCTAGGCGCATTTTCACTGCCAATGGGCGCACTGCCACCGGGTACACCCAACACAGCTGAGGCGGTGGCGGAACATAATGCACGCATGAAGGCGCACATGGATGCCGCGATTGAGGACCAAAACTCGAATAAGTCAATGGGCACATCGGATAACTTTGATTTCTCCACGACATCCGATTACTCCGGTCAGCGTTCGGAATCGTCGCAAGGTGATTTCGATGATTTTATGACCATGGACAGCACCGATGACTCACGTGAAAACACGAGCTCCTTAACGCCATTTGATCGTCGTTTAGCGGACGATTACGCCGACGAACGCATGCATGAGTCCGGCGAACGTGGCGATGCTGCTGAGCTACCCAATCCGATGGCTGCCATGGCCGCTGCAGCGGCTATGGACCTCTCGGCACGTGGTTTCCCCGCTAATGGCGTGACGCAGAAGGCGCTCGAACATCATCTACCCATGTTGGGTATGTCACCGAATTTTCTGCTGATGGCAGCGGCGCGCGAAGAGATGCAAATGTTGGGCGCGCATGCCAAGTTTCCGCTATTGCCTTTCGGACCGCTGGGATTTATGGGTAAGTGTTGTCGCTCTTCGAAGCGGAAWTGTATGGGAAAGTGTTGAATATAATATTATATATATGTATGTTCTTTGAAAGGGTTAAAGTTGTTTTACATTTTTTGTGCACAATTTAAGAAGGGTAAAATTCCATTACAAAGTCATCTTCATTTCGCTTGCCGCTCAGTAGTTTCAGCTGGTAGAAGCAGTGTCAGCAGTACTGAACTTTTGTTGTTTGCTACAGGGAAAAGCAGTGTTCTTAATTAACACGCGCATTAACTCGGTCCTCAAGCTATTTTTCTTCGTCTGTTTAACAGAACTTTTTATTCTTGCTTATTTCCTCCCCACAATTCTTTGTTTGCCTCACGCTGTCTCTACAATTCAATACAATAAACTTCATTCGATTCGCGCTAGCTCGTATTTCTTGTCATTTTCGGTCTGTCAAGTGACACATCTGCAGCGAAAATGACAAAGACTTCGCGTCTGTGCCCTTTGACCTCGGCGCTGTGACAAGTAGCGCGTTTGGCGTTCAATATGCGCGGCATAATTCAATTTATGGACGCGTAAATAGCGTCTTTGCGAGCAGGAAATCACTGCCAGTGCTTGTGTAGTGCGAAAAACGAACGCTTGTTTGCGGCCGATGGAGATTTCGTTTCATTTCGATAGCGTTGACGCATGAATCAATCGCGCTGTTGGCTCTAGTGGCGCTATTTTGGTATAAACTGGTATTCTTCTTGTTTGGTTTATATAACAGATCTCATTTTATTGCGTACGCAATAATTTAAATATAAATAAAAAACATMTGTAAGCATGTTCAGCGCTTTTGCAAAGTCTATTTTGACGGCCATTTCTCATTTCGCCGATTTCATGTCACAACTCTTTCTCGTTGAATAAAATTTATGGTCATTGAAAATATTTTTGCTCGGGAAATTAATGCCTCAGATGTTCCTCATACATCACACAGGGATATATTTATAAGGGAAACATCTATTTAAAAATAAGTGCCTAGGTCTCGGTTTATCAACTTTTCTGCCATCTCGAATGTTTCCATTTCAATTTGTACTTGTTTAAGACGAAGGTCCGTTGCCAAAACTGGCTCCTTTTTGCGAMGAAACTAATTGTAGTGAATTAGATACAGATTTCAGGAAAGAATTTGTCGGTAAAGCTTTAAGGGGGAGCCTGTTTTTGAGGCTTCAAAAAATCGATTTTTTTTTTTTTGTTTGTTAAATCTGTTAAAAATAGTCTCTATGTCCCCAAAGTTATAGTTGAGAGTTCGAAATATTTTCGAAGCTTGWAGGGAATTGTTTGAAGCTTGTAAACCTTAAACATTCATTCAAAAATTACAATCGCATACGAAGCTACGCCACGTAATTAGTCACTCACAGCGTCTTGACTTGACGATGGAAAATTGGAAATGGAGAGTATCTACTATTGGCCAGAATCTTCTTTACATGTGAGCATCATAGCTGTGGTTTCTGAAATCCCTGGCATTCACATAAGATCTCTTACCGGCCTTCGGAACGACATTTCCTACATCTGAGACCTCGGATTATTTCCAAATATAACACATTTCGCCTAGATGGATTCCGGGGACTTGAATGGTTTGAAGAGGTGGTACTCGTTCAGAAAATCTATCCTAATCTAGTCTTCCTCTGTTTCTTGATTCCTTAAAAAGCGGTTCTTGATATAAGTTCTAGAATACTGTTCTTAGGCATTCAAAGTCGAACTTGTACCTTTAAAATTAAGACAAAAGGAAAACTGCGTCGATCGGATAGGAACTGGTGATCTTCCAATAGACAGATATGGACCCCAATAGATAATTTGCCTCATATAAGAAAACCTCGAAGGTTTTATGGGTTAAGGGCGAAACTCTGGTATTTAGGCTCTAGAAAAAGTATGGATAAATCGTACGTTAGGGTTTCAAGATAAGGTGGATYAGGATACAATTATTTGGTGCAGAAAAGTTTTAGTTAAAGTTGGATATTAATTTTGAATATTACCAAACTTGGAATTTAATAAAAACTATATAAATTATTGTTCTGAAATTAATTGTACTCTTACTTTAACTGAAAGCCTTCTTAATTGAGCTATTTCTTGTATGCCCTTACTAGGTCTACATCCACAGACGCATTTGTGTAATGTGTGCTTTAAGATCTTCCCCAATTCGGCCGCATTGGAGCGTCACACGCATAGCGAACATACCAAAGATGTTGCTAATAGCACAACAACAACAACGACGACAACCACACCAACAGCATTAACTAATTCGTCAGCTACAACAACAACGACTACCCATTCGGACAMCAAGAGCAACAATACAGCGACAACAAGTGCCACCGCGGCAGTGCATGACTCAAGTCGTTCCGCGAATTGCGATGGAGCATCACCGCCAGCATATAATGCGAAGGTGAGTGGTAAATATGAAAAGCGGATAAATTGGGGGAATAAGCGCGAGTGTGAGTTTTGCTAACTAATGTAACTCATAAATTTCGCAATATTTCATACTAATTACCAACCGTGAACTAAATAAAAGACGATAGGAAGGTTAAGTTGTAGGTATATATGTAAGTATACAAAGTTGTGTACCCAGCAAGCAAGAATTGAGGGTTCGAATAAATTTGRTTCACAAGTAAATTTTATATTTTTTAAATTGTTATATAGAGACATTAAGATAAAACTTGGCCATATTTCTGTTAAGACATATTTTTTCCTTGTTTGAAAATCTTTTCTATTTTACGAGATATCTTCACGAAATTTTACAAAACATATTGTATACGGCAATGCTATAATTTGCAAAGAAATTGTTTCGATCCGATCACTATAGCATATAGTCGTCATACAAACTGAACGATCGGAATCAAGTGCTTGTATGAAAAACTTTTTTATTTGAAGAGGTCTCTGCAAGAAATTTGGCTAGAGTTATTGTCTAAAATAGCGAAGTAATCTGCAGAGAAATTGCTTCGATCAGACAACTATAGCTTATAGCTGCCATGCAAACTGACAGATCCAAATTAAGTCCTTGTATGGAAAACTATTTTATCTGTCGAGATATCTTTACAAAATTTGGTATACATTATAGTACATGGCAATGCTACAATCTCCAAAGAAATTGTTCTGATCGGACAACTATGGCTTTTAGCTGCCACACAAATTGACCGATCAAAATGAAGTTAAAGATTTATTGCCATGTTCAAACTGCTACTTTTCAGTTTACTTGGAAACAATATATATAACTTTTCCGATAATTATATTATTATATATCATATCACAATTTCCTGATGGGATGGTTGCCCAACCAAATGAATCCCATATTCGCCTCATTGAAATAATAATTTTCAYAAATTTGTTGCTCATTGGGTATCAATGAACGCTGGGTTTTGCCACTACGCATATAATTCATGTGAATATTAACAAATGACAGCTGACAGCAAGTCGGCCTAACGTCATTATTTGTCAGCGTCCATACATATGCCAATATATTATTGGTGTTATTGTGGTTTTTTGCCAAATGAGCTTTGTGTTGCATGTTGCTAATAAACGTCATTACGAACCATTAATTAAAATGTGCTTATACTTCACATAGAAAGGTATAAAAATAATGACAACAAAATGAATATATATGTAAGTATATTAGAWATGCGTGTATGTGAGTATAAAAAAACAACAAATTATGCTATTCTAACTAGTCTGAAGCAATCTATTTGTAGCTGTGAGCTACTTTCATTTTCTTTCCTTAATTTTCTTCTCTATTAAGCTCTTATTAATACAACTTTGCCGCAACTATTAATGTTTACTCTTTTTATTATTTTCTGAGCATAGTAGCTACTTGTTTGTGCTGCAGTTTAGCAGTAGAAAGCTATGTAGGGCAGTTTCTTGGGCGTAGTTGACGAGTTATGCTTTCAGCTGTATTTGAAACGACGCAGAGAAGATGCTTGCGGTAAATTATTAATTGTTATTAGTGCTGAAATCAGACTTATTTCTGACTTAGCATTTAAGGTCAAACTACTACCGATCAATTTTCGTGTAGATTTRGCCTCTGGAGGTCGTTTTTAAGTCTCCCAAAACATCTGCTAGCATTAATGCGCTCTATTTCGCTTGACAGTCTTATCCATAACCGAAATGTCCTGCTGGAACTCTTCACCTTTTTTGTCACTCACAACACTTAAATATTCCGAAAAGAAATGCAGATGAGACCCTAGCATATGTTCCTCTAAGGCCACATTACACTACTTTAAGTAACATTATAAGTTCGTTAATTAAGTCTTTATAACATCTTTAGGCATGTTTTCCGGATCATGCAGTTTTACTTCAAAGCTCCTTATCCAGTTGCCGTATTCGTGAACCTTCAAATATTACCTCATTAATTTTTAAATAAGTTCTGAAGTATAATACCTATTTTTTGACCGATTTGGAGGCTTTGCCAAAAGCAGTTCGTCACTGGGATGGGCCTGTTGACCAAAGACAAGTTTAGATAGTGGACAGWGCGTTTGGACCTGGTTTTAAAGACTTTTGTTTGAGTCGAACAGAAATAATGATCACTTATTCTTTGGTTCGGTCCAAATCATTGGTGTAGCAAATGGCATATGGCTAGGTGCTTATCTGTCGACAGGTTCGGATCATAAGGAGAGAGGTGTCAGATGTGTACATTTAGCTGGGCATGCAAWGAGGTGGTTGTCATGCGAGGACCCATAGACGATTTTGGATAAGTAGAAGTATTACCTGCAKCAGTATCCTGAGCGAAGCTGCGCAAGGGTTTTTAGTAGTCACTATGTATGAATATGGTATCCCCGCAAAACGAATATGGTTGTGTAAACTGTCGTTGAGCAATACAAAAARCTCCGTCAAGAACRGGACCAAGGACCTCTCGGACCACCAACAACAAAGTCACCTCGAAATGCAACGCTGAATAGCTTTTGCATACGGATGCTACTTCGGACGGAGAAGGCAATTAAGAAGTAAAGTCCTATCTCTTCGAACAAATACCAAATTCTATAAGTCACTCAACATCCCCGTCCTGCTATTTGGTACAGAGACATGGACGATGACAAAATCTGATGAATCGGCTTTACGAGTTTTCGAGGGAAAGGTTCTGCAGCAAATTATGGTATTGCRCATTGGCAAAGGCAAATACCACAGCCGATAGAACTATGAGCTGTAAGAGATAAAACACGACATTGACATAGTGCAGCGAGTTAAAAGACAGCGGTTCCGCTGGCTAGCTCATGTCGTCCGAATGGATGGAAACACTCCCGCTCTGAGAGTATTCGAGTACCCGCCTGTGGGAATGAAGGGAAAAAGAAGACCTCAACTCCGTTGGAATTGGCGCCAAACAATAAAAAGCATGAACGACTGGCGCGCTGYTGTAAACTTGACTATAACCGTGTAAGCGATGTCTACGCAAATAAAGAAGAAGAAAAATGGAATATRGCAAATAGCCAAATTATTGTTGTTTTATGTCAAAATACCTATATGCTTCGTACTAATATCTGTTATACAATGGTTTGCTAATGAATTAACTCCAATCATGAATGAAGTCGATTTTTCATTACTTAACTAATTAATAATTGCTAAATACTAGTGAATTCTCTGTAGTACAAAATAAATTGTAACTGMTATTCACATCGATTATGACTTATTAAAAAGAGTGAGTAATAAATTTTTGTCTCAATTAGTCACCTCTACATCAGAGACAACAATTATGATTAATAAATAATTGCTTAAAAGTTTTCCCACAAGTAATAATTATTAGAACACTTACCATTAGTCACTTATAAAGAGGGAAAAATAATATAATAATATATAATAGAAAACAATTTTACGGTWTCATTATATTTGCAAATATGCTAAGTATTTGGCAGAACGGACGCAGAARTTCRCACGATTCGTATATATAATMTAAGTAARTACATATGTACATACATACATGCGCATAAGTGCATACCCTGCAGGAAAATGAAATCAAAAATGCTTTGCGAGCACTTAGTGAACTAACGCGAAGTCGTCAAAAGCTCACCAGTTGACAATTAGGCAACCTCCCGCACTCATAAGGGCTAGTAAATATTTCATTGAATGTCTCTCAGCGGCGGCCTTTTCGGCTGATTTTCACAATTTCGGAAATRTAGCAAACGAGAGGCATATACCGAAGCCTTCTCAAAATGATAAACTATTTTCCATTTCCGCAACTGACTTAGCTTTAATACAAAAATTCATATGCCAGCCGCTAAAGATGCATATTAGAAAACTACGCCGGAAATATATATCAAAGAATTTAGCTGCTCTCGCCAAGAGGTATTTTATTGTCAAAATAAACAATTTTTAAATATCTTATGTGTTCAAAATTTGGCTATAATTTGCTTTGAAATTGTACAGAGGCATCAAAATGCATAATGAGCGTTGGARCGCGTTACTAATTTTGAAGATTTAGTGGTGGGTAAGAAAATGATGACAGTACTTTGGCGAATTCTAAAAATTTGACTAATAAAATCGAAATGTTTATATTTACTATGTACTTATACTTCGTGTTATAATCAGTAGTGAGGAGACTTAGCAAAGCCAACAACCCGAAAGCAAACAAAGGGTAATTGAACGCAGTATAGGTTTGCTGATCGTGCAAATGTAAGCAAAGGGGTGATTGAACCGTGATCTGACTAAAGTTCATTGAAAGCAGGAAAGGTTGGTGACTTGGCTAATACGAAAGGGTCATTTCCATCGTAAAAGTGTCATTTACCTTAAGGGGTATTGATGTGGCTTAATAATAGAAAAGGGGTCATTAACCTCGGAAGGGGTTGTTGATTTGACTAAATGTAAGAAAAGGAGTCATTAAATATTGAACTCATCTAAGGTTGATTGACCTCAGAAACGGTTGTTAACCTCGCTAAAGGTAAACAAAAGTGTCATTGATCTCAGGAATTGTTGACTTCGAAAGTTGTCCACAAAGGCCTCATTAACTTCACAAAAACCCATTGATAAAAATCCATTCTCTAAGATTCTTTGAAGAAATTATATAATAAAATTTGATTTTTTGGACCCAAAACTGTGATTTGTAAATAATTTTTTTCATATTTTTTTTTATGACGTAAACTAAAAACATTCCTACAATAACTACAACATAACGAAAATAACCTATAAATTCCCCCGTTTCTAAGAACAACTGTAGTCCCGGAATTTGGCGCGTTTAGCGAAAATGTTGCACTTTTCATGACACTTCATTTCTGCATATGAAAAATGACATATTCACGATCATTTGTTGCAACAACACTAATACTGCTAAAATTAATAGAATTTAAAAAAGAGGGGAGAGAAGTAAACTCAAGGAGTCGAGTAGAACAAGTATATGTAGACACACGGTGCAAAGTTTCTTGCAAAATTAAAAGTTTTAMTTGCATTTTAAATGGAGAACAATGTGAATGTTAATGTCGAGACGCCACATTACTACAACAACAACAGCAATAGAAATCAGCAGCAAAATCTTGCGTTGTAATAATAACTTGCGAGTCGTCGCCTTATACAATTAAGTAGTTGTAATTTAATGGCATAAACAATAACAACAAAACGACAGCAACACGGTTGATTCTTCGCTGTGGCGCAGGGGCAGGTATACGAGTGAAAGTGATTTATTTGCGTTGCACTCATAAATTCTTAAAATAAAAATGACACTTTCACACCGAAATGGATGAAARATGCGTAGCAAATGTACAGTTAAGTGGAGATGTGTTATTGTAGCAACATGAAAATTAAATTCGCATAAGAGGTGCTGTATAAGTTTTGGAAGAGCTTTGACGGAAAGGAATTTTAGAGAAATTCCAAAAACAAAAAAAAAAAAAACAAACGAAGCATAAAAGGATACGTGTTTGGAGGATAAAGTTCGGGCGATTCGCGAATTAAGTATTTTCGCACATTTTAAGAATAGTACTAATACAAATTTTTTTGATTCWTTCTCAATCGATATGCGTACTTCGTGTTGTGGGCAGTATTAACGATCCGGTAAGGTTTTTAACCTTTCTAATGGTAAAAAAATGGGTCATTATTCACATAAAGGGTTGTTGATTGAGTTAAATATAAAGGAGTCATGTACCAGACCACTAAAGGTCATTGACCTCGGAAGGGTATTGTTGATTTAGCTAATTGTAAACAAAGGGGTCATAGACCTCACCAAAGTTATTGACCTCAGGAAGAGTTGTCAACTTGGCTAAATTTAAACTGAGACGTTAATCACCTTATCCGATCTCATTGACTTTAGGTATTGGTGGTGACTTGCCTAAATGCAAAAAAAATGTTCATTGAATTCACCAAAGGCACTRACCTTGGAAGGGGTTGTTGATTTGGCTAAATGTCAACAAGGGGGTTAATGACCTCATCGATTCTCACTGACTTCAGGGACTATTGGTGTCTTGCCTAAATGTAAACAAATTTAAAAACAATCTAATCAAAGTATGTTAACTTGGATAAATTTAAACAAAAATTSATCAACCTCACCAAAGGTTATTGACCTGACTAGGGTTGTCAACTTGGCAAAGCTAAACAAAGGAGTCACTGACCTTAACAAAGACTGCCAGACTGGCTAAATATAGAGAAATGGGTCATTGTAATCACCGAAGGCTTTTTTGGATATGCTAAAAGTAAGCAAAAGAATCATCGGCCTCCGACTGTGTTATTAATATCGCTGAAGATAAACAAAAGGGTTACCGATCTCATTAAACATTGTTGACTTGGTTAAAGGTATGCAAARGGATCAATGCCCTGACTTGGGCCGACATTTTCTAACCGATTTGAATGATTGTCAATAGGCGCTAACTACACTAAAGGGGAATAAATAGAAATAAAAGCGTCCATTGCACACACCAAAGACAATTGAGTTCACCAAAGGGTTTTTTATATCTTCTATYCTACTAGTTATTATATTATATATGAATCAATTTCTGAGGTATCTTATAATAAACGAATTCTTTACCTTAGACCATCTGAACCATATCATAAAATTGAAAGAAAAAAGTATGAGACATGTCAAAAATTCAACATTATCAATAGCTCTTATTGAAGTCAGAAACCCTAAAGCTCTTTGACAACGCAAAACTTCATTTTTATATTTTTCTAACCACATATTATCCGTTTTAAGAATTTTAAAGAACGGAAGAATATTGGTAAGAATCTAAAACTTACTTATATTTTTTCAAACAAAAATATTTCATTTCAGCTTTCAGTGAGCAGTAATCTATTCCCGAAACAAAACAACAGTGAAGAAGACGAAGAACCCCTTACAAATAACAGTATAACAACTATAAATAATCAAAATAGCAACACAGCTGCTAAAAACGGTAATTGTTTGACTAAGACAACACAAGCGGCTAGCCCTAATGAGTTGGAAACTAGCGARGCGTCTACACTCCACGAGCGCATTAAACAAGAGCCTGATACAGAGACCGAATGTGAGTCACAACAGTTGAAGACCAATATTTCAAGATCCTCACCTACACCAAGGACGACACCATCGCCTTTGCCACCAGCGCCAACGTTACCAATGATAACGGGCTGCATACCAGCAGCTTCACCAACCAATAGCACACTGGAGCAACAAAGCGGTTCTGCGTCAACACATTCACCCTTCGAGCTCGCTGTACATCCACATTTGGCCTTGCCGCACAACAACGCCGAACAATCGCTGATGCAAATGCAATTGCGTAAGTACTCGCATTAACCGGTGTCCTAGGTCCACAATGCCACACACTACCTTCCTCCTTTTAATGTGTTCCGATTTTCCTGTTGAGCCGACATCTAAACTGTGTGGCAATCTGCACAATTTATTGTTTTTTATTGTACTCGTATTCCTTCCCGATTCTAACGCGTTTAGTATCCTCACTTCCGCATGATACCATGCAAACCATGCAACTGCATTATGGCAACGCCCATTACCATCACCACTATCATCACCACCACCACCAACAACAACAACAACAACAACAACCACATCAACAACACCCGCCATCGCATCCACACCAACAACCACAACAACAATTGTCACATAAATCTTTGCTGCCCGCAGATGCACATCGTTTTCCGGCGAGCCCATTGGACTTTCAACAGGCGCTGATGTCGGTCGGTCCACCGAGCTTGAGTGCGGACGCTGCCGCCGCCGCGAATCAGAAGCATTTCTGTCACGTGTGTCGACGAAACTTTAGTTCGAGTTCGGCGCTTCAGATCCATATGCGTACGCATACTGGGGACAAGCCGTTCCAGTGCAATGTGTGTCAGAAGGCCTTCACAACCAAAGGAAATTTGAAGGTAAGTGCAACTGGCGTGCTTAATGTCTTAATTCTTAAGTCTCGGTTCGAAGTTGTGAAATTGGGGTTTCCAGTTCCTAAAAACTGTGGAATGTAATTAGTTAGATATTACTTAGTGGGTAAAAGCTAGGCTAAAGTGCTTGCTACATAGAAGAGAGGGCTTGTTTTCTTCGACAGGATGGTTGTTTGAATGCTTAGACAGGTCCCTCGAACTCAATTAAATAGRAAATATCGCCTTTATATCAGCGAAAATTATAGCCGATTATTCTCTGAAAGAAATGTGAACTACGGCTTGRCATTAGCGTCAGTTMMTAAAGTTCCTWGGACATTTATAGGGCCGAGGYTTARGAATAATTTTCCTAAACCTTTTTCYTTAAAACCAATTTGGAGTAKKGTTTCGTGGAAAGTATCTGTAGATCCCCTCTAATATTTGTGTAGAACGATTAAGGAAACGTTTTCATTTTTAAACCYCATATAAAATACGTTGAAACTCTAATCCCATATTCGAAATATTTGAAACCAATTTCYCCCCTTTTTTCATCCTTTCCAAATAGGTCCATATGGGCACACATATGTGGACGAATCCCACATCCCGGCGTGGTAGACGCATGTCACTTGAATTACCCTTACATCGTCCTGGAAGTATACCGAGTGAGACCGATTTCATGCAAAGACGTCCAGAACTGTTTTTCCCATATTTGCCGCCATTTTTCAATGGATTACCGCCAAAGGTAAGTACCGAGGTTTTACTATATCTCTAAGAATATATAAATAAAAGATTATTGATAAGAAATACGTGTGGAAGACTGTAACTAAAATGCATTCAACACAAGCAATCCCTGAAACCTAATTTTTTCCATTAACTTATGTAAATATCTCTGGTAACACCCGCATACAGCCTGGTGATCTAAGTCCTGGCGCATTTCCGAATCTAACACCACCACATTTTCCGAATGGCGCAAATGCTGGCAAATATCCACCCGGACTCTTAGGTTTGCCACCATTTCTGGCACCACCTTATAATTTCCCGGGCATGACAACGCAGTCACATGGCGATAACAGTAAATCCCCCACACCAACAAGAGATGACAACAGACATTTGGAGAGCCCTTCGCGCGGCTCAGCTTTAGATACGACAGCGCCTTGGCATATGTTAGGAAAAATTAAAACTGAGAACAATCAAAATGACGAATTGTCAACAACGCCGACGAGTAGTTGTAATCAAATCGATGAGATGCACAACGAAGTGCAACATATAGTGGATTAGATGTGAAGATTTAGGTCTCCAAATTGTTAAGATGGAATAGTAGACTTTCTAACTTGTGAGCGYTAGCAGAGTTGTGGGTTGAAAAGTAATTGGTGAAGGCGCAAAAATCGCAAAAGTATAATTTCTTTCCCTTAAATTCCAAAAATAGATAATTTCACTCTAGAACAAGAGAAGAAGTTTTGACAACTTTAAGAATTTTATGCTCGAGTAAGTGTGGTTCATCTTTTACAAAATAGTAGATATATTTAATTTTCATCCGTGATATTGGTTCAACCAAACTAAAAAATATATTTTCTGYATAATAAATGTCTTCGTCACTTATTAACATTCTTGGTAAGCTTCTTTCTCCACGGTACCATCTAAGCAATATTTCTTTAAAAGCTTTTAATCGAAAAATCGTTGGTCATTATCTTTCTATATGGACTTCTAATCGCAGGCAAAAATGAAAGGCATATTTGTTGAAAGAAAAACTTTTTATTTTGTGGTACTGAAAATTCATTTTGAGGACAATATAAGGCTTACGTTTGAAATGGTTGAGGCCTAAACCAAGTACTGGACCTTAGAAGACAGCAAAACGCCTTGTCGCCAACACAAATTTACTCAGTCTTTTAGTTTCTATTCGCATTAGCTCGGTGAGATATCTGAARCAGTGAGCTACCAAGTGTTTCGAGATTTGATCCTGCAAATGCGGTCAATCTAGAAGAAAGTGTTGAAGTGTTCCATTTGCTTTCATACAGCTTCTGCAGCTGGCACACCGTAAAATGCCCATCGGGAAATRGTCTGTTAGAATTCCCACAACTAGGCAGATGSTGRCCTTATTAAGTGCAAAAAGCTYACTAGATCTCTTACGATCGMTCTTGCACCAAAAGAATCTTGCGACAGCACATAAACCGATAGTAGTTCAGCGGCAACCAAGTACCTGCGAAGCCGAGCTATCCAGTTGTAGAACACAAGAGAAGCCACGAGCCCCGGCCCGTTCCCATTTTATTGATATCAAAGCTGGAGTATCTATCTTTGCCAGCTCATCAGTTTTACAGTGAGGTGGGATTCCGCTGTGGTTTGCCATTCGTAGTAATCCTTTACAACGGAACTCCATTTCATTGGTAACAAGGTTAGGCATTATTTAGTCGGCCGTGAATGCACGACGGTTGCACTCTGAAGCAGTAAATGTACCGTTATATTATTGACAGCAACTGCGACTTAAAAAACACTGTAATAGTCATGCAATCTGAGGTTGAAATTGATAGAAATATTCTGCGGGAATATACTGTCCAGAGTTACACATAAGGTAACTTTTTAAGTTGCCTGACCACTGCAGTATATTTCAAGCTGAGGTCTCTRCTATTTCGAAGGCATCGATGGCAATGAAATAGTGGACCAAGATTGGATTGCCAAGAATGGTGTACGGCTAACATCCRAAAMTCCATGCATTCTCTATACGACGATCTCGACAGAAGCAGAAGAAGGTAGATTGGAAGTACATAAAATTTCTATTGACACTCGATAGAAGAGACAATAGGAAAATGGTGGAAATACTAACTATGCTGTAAACATCTGGGATCCTCGCGGTATAATACACTGGAGTAAGTATGAATAGTGAGACAGCAGATTCTGTTAAAATTTTCTTGAAGCGCAGGCATCCGAATGGATGACTACTCCTCTTGGACCTTGCAACTTGACTCCATTTGAGATCACAAAGGAGCAAAAGTGGTCTATGCGTGGCTTATTGGTCTACCAGATTAACCTAACCTAGGTTTCGCCACCACTCAAAGACCCCATAAATAAAAAGGGATTGACTATGATGTCGAAAAGAGAACTAAAGGAACTAGTTTCGGTGAGAGACTCCACCTTTTGTCAATGGCTCCTCTGCAGCAGTATAAGACTATCAATGTCTTTAAGCTTCTATGGCAGCTTCCTATCTTGGACGAGGTCTAAATACTTCACTGATCTCGAATCTCCTATTAACAAGGCAATGTCAGCGTTATTTAGGCTAATAGCAACATCACTTCCTTAGCTAGATAATGGGAAGCAAAAGTTCTGTATTCTCTCTTATTTTATCACAGTATACCTGTATACATAAGATTGGGCCCAAAAACTTTTTTATCGCAGCACGACTTACGAATTTCGATGCCTTTTTTAACAAAAATACCCAGCTTAAGCCTTTTCAACCCACTTTCAACTAACTATTAATAAGGCACGTTAACCTCAAGCGTAAAATGTGAATGTAAAATGAAATTTTTATGAGTAGTTAAAGTGAAAACATGGTTTTTGTGGAGTACATATCGTAAAAAAGTAAAAATGCTTAATAATCATTGCTAAATTATGAACTTATGAATATTGTAATTAAAACAAAATTAAACAAAAAATCAATACTGAAGRTAATTTGTGGCTAAAAAGTTCAGCATAGATATGCTATGGCATAAAATAAGGAAATAAAGTTAGGGCTTAGAATTTAAAGCAAGCGAATTAGTTTTAGGTTAAAGGGGCAAGGAGAAACTAATTAAAAAATAATAATTTAATAAAAATTAGTGTGAGACGCATGTATGCATTTAAGTGGCATTAACTTACTGTACAGTTAGCATGTAATAGGTATATATATATATATAYGATTATTATAAAGAAAMTAAATACTTTAGTACTTAGCAATTAATTTATGTAGTCAAGAWAGAAAGTGGCAATTATCAGCAACGATTTGTGGCTAAGCAAAAACGTTAAATTTAAGTCAATACATACATACATACAAACACACATCATGAATGTGAAAAACGCGTGCAATGCAATTTATAAATAGTATGTAATGTAAAAAAAATGAAGTGCGAAATAATAAAAAAAAAAAAATATTTAAAATAAAAATGAATTATTAAAATAAA